GAGAATTAGAAAAGTTGCTTGTTTGCAGGTTGGAATCCATCATCACTTCTCAACAATGATCAGAACACCCAAATAATGGAATAGTAGGATTACCTGTTAATTCATGTTGGCAAAGGGTAAGGGAAAGAATGCACCAAGCCTGAAACAGAATGCTGTGATATAAGCAGATGCAGAATCCACCAATAACCCTGTGCTTCCTCTTTAGGATGGAACCTGTCCCTTACAGTACCCATAGTTCCTTCATGGCAGAGCAATTTTCCTCCTGTTGACTGGGGCAAACTGGGAGCTGGTGGGTTGTTGTTGCATGAAGCATGCAAATTCTTGATCCATTTTCCCATTCCTGGTATAGTTGAATAGAAACTGACTTGGGAAAGAGTAGCAGTGAGATTCCTTGGAGGTGAGCATTTTCTTGGCTGTGAAAGGTCCTTCTGCTCCTCCTCACCTGTGTAGAGCTCACTCAGCTATGCTGCTGCCCTGAAACTAGTTCTCCTCCACAGAGCCCATCAGTCTTCTGAAGTTAACTGTGTTCTTGTTGTCCTTCCAAATCATCAGGCTCTGTAATTGTGGCTATTCTGTACCAGACTACATGATAGCTCTTCAGTTATCCCAGTTTTCCTGGAACTTGAGCATCTCCTTGCATGTGGAGTTTTCCTTAGGAAAACATGGAGAGTCTGAAGTAAACCTGGACTGTTATCCTTCTGGAGGGAATCATACATGATGGCCCTTTGTTAATCCCTCTCCAAGGGATTAACAAATGCATAACCCAGACGCTCACCAAATATGGATTCTTGAGTTTGTGTGTTGAGCTTGTCTGTGTTGCTACAATATAGTATTTACAGATAATATGACAAAGTTGATCAAGGTGGAATTGGTGTCTAATGACTATCACCTCAGCCTTTGGGAGACAGAATCTTGCTTGGAACTCATTTTATTTCCCAAATGCTGAAAAGATAGGTATGTATGACCATGTCCAGATAACTACACCAGAGCACTGAGCTCTCACAAAACCTAAACTAACTACTTCCAATGACTGTGGCCCACCTTACACTAAACTCTACCTCCTAATATTATAACTCAGAAAGCCAATCTAACACCACATGTATTCTTTCTTCATGAAAACCACAGGTCACAGGCCACTCAGCATGGGGCATAAAAGCCAACATCCCCAACATTATGACATATAGTTTCCTGCCTTCTCTCTCATCCGATACAAGATCACTAATCACTCTACCAGTCTTTCTTGGTGTTCTTAATGTGCAAGGACATGTATTTGACATGCATTGCTGGCCCAAGTGCCATAGAAGAAGACAACCTCCCTGCTTCTGATGACAACTGAAGCTGCTGCCACAGAGGCTGCTGCTGTCACTGTACTCACCATCAGTGACTAACCCCCACTGTGCTTACAATGCTACTTTAATTCCCTTCAAGTCCTGCATAGACTGCCAGTGCCCCTTCCAGGCTTTCTATTCTGTAAAGAAAGCTTTTATTTAGTGTTGCTTCCACTCTGTCTCCCTGGGTCTCCCATGGGATTTTCCAAGGAACCCAGGGGTGCTTTCTTCTTGGAGCCAGTACTGAACTCTCACAGATCAGGTGTTATTACCAAACTGGATTCTTCAGATAGGGATTCAGAACTAAAGATATTTTTTAATCCCACTCCTCCTAGCCCTGAGTACATTTGGCAAAGTATGGGGATACTTTTGGTTATGACAGTTGGATAAGGGGGATGCCATTATCACACAGTTGGTGGAGGCCTGGAATGATGCAAACACCCATTGGCACACAGGACACTCTTCCCATAGATCCAAACTCAGTTCTGTGGTGAGTTTGAGAAGCCATGCCTAACATGAGTTCTCTGCCTAAGGATTCAACACCTCCTACAGACAGGCCTAGGGAAGCCTTCTCCAAACCACAAGATGGAGAGGTATCTGGAGAAGGCTTCCCTGGGCCCTGTGTCTGAACCATGTCTGACCAGCTTCCATATCAGGAACCTAAGATGACCTGTCTTTTCCCACAACAATTTCCATGTAGAGTTTTGTTGAGGTTTTCTCTAGCCCATATCTTTTTAAAACACAGCACTGTGCTTAGCAGTGAATCCTATACAGTAATACCAAGCTATTATAACTGATGGACTCACCCCTCCTTTTGCTAAGGTGGCTTGGGAGACATATGCTATCAGTCCTTATGGAACAAGGTGTGTGTGCTGCTCCCTGCACATCTTTCAGAGGTTATTGGAACACATTTTCTTACTTCTAAGACTTTGAGCAATGGTTTCCACACTTCTGTAAATGGTTCAGTCCTACAGACTAATGACCACGACATTGTAACTTTGACCACTCAGGAAAAAAAAATATAGATATGCATGAAAGACTGTAACCCATGTTTTCTGCCTAAAATATGCATCCTAACTTGTCTCTATGCTCTGCACAATAATAACTTGAGGAAGAATGAACTGTTTTGTAGAAAAAGCATTCTAAAAAGATACGGTATTTGTGATGTAGAAACAGAATTTTCTGTTTCCAGTTTGAGGTAAAAAAATTGGGGCTGCTGAAATAATGGGATGCATTTGTGAGTATCATGTACTCCCTGAGAGGGGTTGATGAGGCCTGATTTCCCTGTAATCACTTTAGTTTCACTTACACCCAATCACAATGTCCCTGGGGACATGCTAACAGAAGTGGGCGTATCACCTTAGTAATATAGACAGTTCTGTCCAAATACAAGTAATTAACATTATAAAGCTAGAAATCTATATGCCGCATGAGTCAGTCACTTCAGAGTTCTTTTCAACTTTATCTCTGAAACAAAGACACATCTGCATCTGGTCATCTAACCACACATATTTCCATACGCTCTCAAGGGTGGGGTAGTCAAACGGGAAAGGCTTTGGAAAATACAAAGACCATTCAGACAGCAGTAGAGGTGTCTGCACAATTCCATATTCTCAAGGAGTGTTGAGTGGTTTCTTTGTGAGTAGGTTGAGTCCTGCCTGGGAGGTAGGAAACTTCTTCAAGCGCAAACATGTCAGTCCTACTTGTTTAAGATCCCCTAGTAGAGTGTCTAGCATATGGTGTATTGTCAGCAAATGCTTGTTGAGTGAATGAAGAGAAGAATTCACAAACACCTAAACTGGAGAGCCATGCACAGACATCAGAGTAAGCTTAGGTTTGCCTTTCTGAGACCCCTAACTTGGCCAATGTGAGAGTTGAACCTGACCCATCTCCCTTGATTGAAACACCAAAGAGAGAGGGACAGCAAACATATCACTGGAAAACACAGGAGGCATTAATTCAGACCCAGCAGGTGACTCATTCTTGATTCTGCGATGGATCCCCCTACATCCCTATACACACACACACACACACACACACACACACACACACACACTTTTAAAGCACAGTTTCTGTAGCACTTGGCCTATGTGATGGTTTCCTTCCACTTATCTGGCAGGTTTGGCAAGTGGACCTATGAGTGTAGAGAATTTGTCAGAAGCACACTGGCAACCGGGCTGAATGTCATGTGCCCATTGCTCTGTGGTGTCAGGGTGACCTTCCCTCCCAGTCTCTTCCCACCTTCCTGACCTCTTCCCATCCTCCAAGCCCAAGGCCAGCCTGAGAACTTGGCATGCTTTCAAAGTTCTACTTCTCTGATGACTTTATTTGAGCTCATTTTACCTGCTAAGTCCATTTTTCTAGGGCAGGAACCTTGCCTTCTGTTGTTTCTGATACTTTCTAATAACCCCAGGAATCTGGCTCTCCCCCTTTTTGATGTTATAGCAAAAAACAACCAGTACTTTGACCTCTGTAAGTAGGGTCAAGGTATTTCTGGAATCTATGAATCTATGACAACAACAGAAGGAGGGACCAGGAAATACCCAAGTATCTCAAAATATCATTCCACCAACAGAATCTCTCTCCAGTTGGCTCCCAAGAATCACCAGTTCACGTTATCTATACTCTTATATACACATGTATAAATGCATACCTGTACGCTTAAATATTTATGTGTGGGTATATATTTACATGTACATGTATGTGCACATACAGTTATACACACATTTGAAGAACTTAACAGCTCAGCTAGAAATTGTGTTTGAAAGAATAGGGCATAGGAAGCAAACACAAACACCTTGGTGAGGATTAAGTCTCTACATCAGTAAAGACCCCAACACCTGGCCCTGGGAGAGCTGAGCCAAAAGGCTATTTAGTCAGGCCCCTGCCACGAAGCAATGGGGCAGTGGTGGCGTCAGTAGGGAAAGACTCTCTGCAGGGACTATGGCTATGAGGGAACTCTCAGTTTTATGTCATACTGTTATATGTTAGGCTCCTCTTCCCAGGCCTTCACTCCCTCCAACTGAAAATCAATATTTTGATCAAAATTTTGGGTCCCGGGTTGTATATATCTACTTCATTAGTTCATGAGGAGTGAGGTTTCTTCCCACCTGATCAGATGGGTAGGATGCACACACAGTCTTAGAATTCCTCCACAGTACTGATAACAGTGGGTATTTCCAAGACATCCCACAGTCCTTAACCAAGAGGGATGGTTTGCTGTGGGTCATTGGGAATGAAGACTCTGTCCTTTGTCCCACACCAGGGAAACATGCACAGACAAAGCTTCTTGTTTTACCTTCTCTGGACATTAGATTTCTCATTTGTAACACAAAACTAATGTCTTATACCCCAGAGACTTCCCAGAACCCTTTTCAGGACAACCTGAGGTCCCCAAGGGAACCATTCCAGTGACAAGTTGACTCTAAGGTGTCTTGCATCTGATGTTTGATTTATCACATCTTCATATTTAAATATATTGGTTTTCCTGATAAGATAAACAAAAATTGAGTGGCCAATCAGAGTGCCCCTCACTTCTTTCTTGAGTTTACTTTAAGCCTCTTTGCACTTCACAAAAATTAAGGGAAAAGGAGGAGGAGGGAGGGGTAGTTGATTTGTGTCTTCCTGTAAATGTGCAGACAGGACCAGACATACATGTGTTTTGTTTTCCAGGGAGATGTGTATCCAACAGGATGGGAGAGTTCATCTCACTGTTGTTTACTTTGGGAAAGAAGAAATGAACGAAGTCAAAGGAATACTTGAAAACACTTCCAAGTAAGTGCCGTCCCAGACCCATAGTTGTGCTTAGTTTTCCTTTCTTTAACAATGGGATAACCAGGAAGGTTAATTGTTGGCTATGCATAGGAAAACTCAGAACCCTCCCTCCCTAGGAGACTACCCTGTCTGACAGTGGTTGTCTCAATGTGATGAGTTTGACAGTAGGCATAATCTGCCCTGTTTGGCAAATGTGTGGGAAATGGGTTTCTGGGAGCTCATGCATAACTGAAGGCAATCTTTCAGCAACACACAGCTCAGGACTTTCATGTTTGCAGAGTAGATTTAGGGAGAACACATTCTATGCTGTGAACTCCAATTGAGCTACTGCTTGACAGTCTATGAATAATACTCAGGCTCAAATCCCATCCATGGAGCAAATGCTCTCAACATTTCATCCATTATTCAGTTAAAGACATTAGGGGACACCCAGAAGGGGTAGCTGAGTCAGGATCCTTGATTAAACCCACCCAGTTAAACAGAAATGACTTTCAAATCCTTTAGGCCTGGGGTTCCATGTTTGTAACTCATTGATCAACTGTAGCGTGTAAAGGGGTATTCAGAAGCAGCAAAGAGGGATTCTTCTTTTTTTTTTTCTTCTTCTTCCAAGATAAATAACCCATGGCATCCTGTGAAAAAGAGGAGGCTAACACAGTACTGCTATGCTTCCCTTTAGCTTGCCACAGAGGTGTGCAGACTCAGCTCAGAAGGCAGGTGGATCACTCTGATCTGTGTGTAGCTGGAGGCTTTAATAGTTCTCAGTGGCAGAACTAGTCTGAACAGGTCCATATGGTTTAGATATAAACAGGACTGTCTGTTCTGAGTTTCTGGTTTATGGTAATTGGATGTCAGTTGAAGGATAAACTTCTAAGAAGGAGAACACTTCCCATGTTACTCCATGCTGTTACCAGATTTGTGTTAATGGACACAATTAAAGTTTCAAACACCCTGAAAGCAGAGGTCATCACCTGTGGTACCTTACCACATCTGCTTTTGTAAATAAAGTTTAATTGGATGCAAGAAGGTCTGTTGACTTATGTGTTACTTCTGGCTGTCAGGCTCACAAAGCCTAACCAACTTACTATCTGGTTCTTTATAGAAAAAGAAAATTTTTCGTCCTTATCCTAAATGAATAAGAGTTGAAAGTAGTAAAGGCCTGTGTGTAAGGATCATCAAATGGAAAAAAATAAGTGGTTATCCTAAACGTAATTGAAATAGAAACCTCTCGGGTCCAATGCATGACCATATCCTCCCATCCCACTCAGCAGTGGAGAACACAGGTGGTTAGGACTCGTGTTCTCTGCCCAGTGGGTTGCTGTAAGCATCTTTGCCAATATCCCTTCCTGGACAAAATTGTTTTTAAAGTTCTCCAGGTGCCTCACACCTGCAATCGGGATAAGAAAATATTGTAAGAAAAGTGGTGGCCACTTCTATGGGCTGCACCCTGACTACAGGTAACTGCATCTTTCCAATGTATTATAAGTATCTGTCCAGGAGGAGGACTCTAGTGTACAGACAGAATTAGCAAGTCCTATCCTGTTAGTACTGAGACTTTTTTCATATCTCAATAGATGTTGGGACATTTCCTGATAGTTACACAGAACCAGATTTACAGTACAAGTGGAGGCTAGTTTAAACATGCTATAGGAAGTAGTCTTTCTAAGGACTAGAAGGTCTACAGGTATTTTTATTGAATAAGTCTTCCCTATGTTAGGTTTTCCTGGTTACTGAATGTTGTAAGAATGTGATGCAACAGACACTGACTAACACATTTGTGTCTTTCCACAATGTTCAAATGTGTCAATAGCAATAAATTCTGATATAATGATTTCAAGATTTATTTTTATAATCTATGTGTGCATGCTTTGCCTGCATGTATTTATGTACACTTTGTGCACTTCTTGGAGGTCAAAGGAGGGTATCAAAATCCATGGGACTTGAGTTACAGCAGGTGTAAAGTGCCACATGGGTGTTATAAGTCAAACCTGGGTACAGAAAGTACTCTTAATCATTCAGAGCCATCTATCCACCCCAGGCTATCATTTAGTCATCTTGTCTACCCTGAAAATCTGACTGAAGCAAATATATGTTCTCTCATTTTAATCTTAATTTCTAATATGAACTCTCAACATCACAAAGTTCATAGCATGCAGTACATCCAGTTATATATATATATATTATATATATAGTGGTTACAGAATGGATAAGAAACCAAAGCAGACATTAAGAGGTTATAGAAATGGGCTGAGAAACATGTAAGTAGAATCTGTATTCACAAGACACAAGAACACAGTACTGTAAAGACGCTGATATTTTAGGGGTCAAGATGTGGGAGAGTTGAGTTTGGAAGTGAAGATGTAGTCAGTGAAGTGAAGTGAAGAAGGTGGAAACTGGTCTGAGCAAGAAATGTCAGATTCGCATCCAGACAGGAAGGAAGTGGATGGGTAGGCAGCCAAGTAGGCCACATTAACAGCCATAGACAGAGCCGAAACAAAGACCTGGGAATGAGTTTGTTCATCAAAGGAAAGATAATATACCAATTAAGTATTGGATTTGTATGTATGAACACACACACACACACACACACACACACGTACATTCACATGTCTGCCTGAGGCTTTACTTAAATATCTCCACTGTTCTTTTAAGGTGGTAATAATATTTGTCCAGTTGCACTTTATTTTTAATTACTATTATTTTTATGCTATGAATATTCATAGCAACTTTTGTTGTATGCATGTATGTATGATATGTATATGTGTGTGTTCCCATGTGTATGTATGGATATATACACACATGTGTGTACTTGCATGTGGATGCCTGAGGTTGATATTGGGAATCTTTTTCAATTATTCTTCACCGTATACATAGATGCAGATTTCTCACTGAACTTAGAGCTACAAGTTTCCAATAGAGAATTCCTATCTCTGCCTCCCACTTGCAAGGACTACAGATGGGCTACTGGGAATCTGCACTTGGGTCCACATGCTTGTACCACAAGTGTTTTACCTGCTAAGCCATCTCCCCAGGCCCTTTGACCCTCTATGTCTAGCTTTTGACATATTGTTATCAGCCCTGCTTCATAGATGAAGAAATTGGGGCTTAGGGAGTTTGTCTCAGGCCTTCACTCTAGTCACATGAGTCAAGTGTCCCTTGTGCCTTCCTAAGACCCATAATTGTTAGTTGAAGGCAATGAGATTTGTAATCAGACTAAATGGCATTCACTTCATTTGGAGATCAGTATTGTAATTAAAGTGTTCTAAATCCAGCTAAATGCAAACATTTTAAGAATATCTAAAAATACAGTCTTGTTTAATGACTAGTTTGCAATGTTTTATGTTCTCTTTCTCTGAGTTTATGCTTCCTCAATTGAGCTTTGTATTTCAGTTGATTGCTACAGATTGGTGTTTTGCAAAGTCTGGTTGTGATTCATTAGAGGATTTCAAAATCGATTCAGTTGGCTTAGCCCAATGTTTCTGAAAATGGAATAGAGTAGGGTGCAAATTTGCAGAATGAATCATGGGTAATAAGGATGCATATTGATTCATGAAACAATAATTTCATTGCACATCCTATGTGCATGCCCATGTACTTGTCCTGTGAAATGAAGACAGTACGTTCCTTTGTAAAGATTGTGATTAAAATGTTTACAAGCCACTGCAACAGAAAACAGCACAAATTCCTTCCCAGTACCTGACCTTTAATCCACAGATTTTCCTAGGATTCATCTGTTCTCAAATAAAAGCTTAACTCAGGAGCCCTCAAATACACATAAGCTTTGGTGTTACCTTGGATGATTTTTAACATGCAGAATACTTGGACCCAGCCCCACATACTGAGTCAGCAGGCTTGAGTTGCAGCCTAAGAAACAGGGTTTCACAGTATCATGTGTACTGCTGTGTCTGGTCATGGCTCACTCTGAGTAGCAGGAGTCTAAGGGGCCATTTGATTGGAACTGCATAAGAGTATATTTAAAAGATCATAACTTGTAGTTGAATTATAATTTATTAACAAGTTCATATTTGTCTGATCATGAGACATGAGTGCATCTTTCAGAAGAATCATCTCATTAACAGCGAGACACTAGGATGGGAAAGTAGCTCCTTGGGTAAGGTACCTGCTACACAAACATAAGGACCTGGGTTTGGATTTCCAGTATTCATGTAAACTCTGGGTGTGGTCATGTATCAATAACCCTGGAACTGGAAGTGGGGGTGGAGACAGGAAGATCTTCCCAGCTTGTCAGACAACTTATTTAGCCAATCATGAGCTTTAATGAAAACCTTAATGTAAGATTCTGTTTCAAATGATAAGATGGTCATCAATTGTGAAAAACACCAGATGTTAATTTCTGGCTTCCAAAAACACATTCACACAAATGTACATGTAATCAAATACATCTGTATACACAGAATGCATATACATAATATGATTCATGTACACACGCGCACACGCTCACACACACACACACACACACACACACACACGCACGCACGCGCTCACACACACACACACACAGATTGCTCTGCCCCATGTGGATGAGGAGAAGTGAGGCTTGTGGTGTTGTCATGTCCTGCCTTACCACTGTGTGTTAGCATATCATGCCTCTTTGAAGTAACTTTATGATTATTTCATCCAGATAATTGGGGAGAGTGTGTGCGAGAGAGAGGGAGGAGAGAGAGAGAGGGGGGACCACAAGTTAATTCTTGCCCTCTACTGAGGTTAACATCCCAAAGATGGACAATCATACATGTAAACAGGGATGAGAAAAAAAACTTGGAGCTCTTGCCCACTGATGGCGGAATGGAAAATGGTGCTAGTGGATAAGAATTCAATGGTTCTTCAAATGGTTTAGAATAGAATTGTCTTCTAAACTAGAAATTTCATTTCCAGGTAAAATAGCTGAAAATTGGCATTTTAGCAACTGTGCACAAACATTCAGTGATATTATGATCAATTTGCAAATGAAGACAACCCAAATGTCCATTTAGTCTTTTATC